CACTTTCCCATCGATGAAAATTTGCTGGGCAGGTGACGAGCTCTCGTCGTCGCGAGTCCTCGAATTCGTTCTTGTCCGGCAACAGCGGCACGTCCGGCGAGCTTTTCATCAGCGGCGACTGCGGCCGGGAATTGTCGCCGGTCAGATGGTGCGACAGAGAAGTAGACGGCGTCTATCTGGGTCGGTCCGGCTGGGTGCAGGTGCAGCAAAGGTCATTGGACGAGAACCGAAGAATAAACTACGAGAGCAGCCTGGTCACAGCAACGACGGGCACCTTGCCCCTGCCGCGTCGAGTCACCGTCAAGTTGGCCAACTACCACTGCAACAGCGAACCAGGAAAATGCCCCCAAGAGTTCTCGAGGCTGGACAATCATCGACCGGACTACTTGGCGTTGCACGGTCAAGACTTCGAGTCGGTCGGGAGCAGCGCTTGCACGTCGCCGCACAGCATCCCGGAATCTTACTCGCCGCCATCGATCACGCCGATCATATCGCCGCCACCGGCGTTCCAGGATGTGGTCGGCAAGAAATCCGCGAGACACTCCGGCCGCGGCCACTACGGTAAGGCGCCGTTTTTGCCACGCTCGAACGCCATAGTTGACAGCGACATCATCAGCCCGCCGCCATCGCCTCCGCATCAAGTGAACTGGAGCTCGTTACCGTCTTCCACGCGGAAATCTTCGAACGTGACTTCCAGACTTCGAAGACAGAACACTAGCACCCAACAGCAGCAGCTTCAACAGCAACAACAACAGCAGCAGCAACAACAACAACAGCAGCAGCAGCAGCAGCAGCAACAGCAGCAGCAGCAACAACAGCAACAGCAGCAACAGCAGTATCGAATGGCGCAGGCTAAATCGTTGGAGGACCCTTCATCCTCGAGAAGGACGCAGTTCGTTCAACGATACATGGAATCTTCCAGTTCTTCTTCGTCCTCTTTGGGTTTCAGGAGTCTCGACAGCTGCGTGCAAAGATCCACCATGCCCAGGTTATCCGAGAACACGGATTCCTCGGTGGAAGGATACGACGACGGCGACGATGAAGACGATAATCCCAGCTCGTCGTTGAACCTCAGCCTTGTCTCGTCGTCGATCATCGCGCTAAACTCGTCGAACGAGTCGATCCGCGCCAACGGCGAGAGGATCTCGCCCAATCGGCAGGCCCGTCATCACAGGAGTCAACAGGGACTGAGGAGATCGCCGGGATCCGCGGAGTCCGGAAAACAGTTGTCATTCAATTCGCCGTCTTCGTCGTCTTCGTCGTCGAGCAGCGCGGAGAGGCAGGGCAGATCGCCGACGCCGAATCCTTTCCGGCGCAGTAACGCTGCGAGGCAGCACCAAAGCGCCAGGACAGCGCAAGTGTCCCCAGAATCCCACCAATCGAGGGTAAGGAGATCCAGGAGTCTTCAATTACCCGAGAAGAGGTCCCCGGGCGCGGCAGCGCCGAATAGAGATCACTCGAGGGAGACTAACGAGCCCCACAGAGTCGTTGTTAAGATTTCCAATGATCGAGGAGGCGACAGGAAGCGTCACACTCTCCAAAACCGTACGTATACGTATCATGCTCGTCTTCTGCCTGGTTAAAACGGTTGATCCTATTTCATGGAATTCCGTGAGAATCAGTAGCTTACGATGAAACCTCGATTAATCGGACTAGTTGAGATATTAGTAGATTCTATTATGTTCGTACAGAGAAAACAAGTTTACTTGAATTTTTGTAGCTATTAAATGAACAACCAGTGATTAACATTTACTTTGTGGGTTAATACATTTGACAGTGTAGAAAATAGCTCAATGTTTTATAAACGAGATCTTAGAATACTTTACATTACGCCTTTTCAAATATTTATTAATACTCCATACCATAAACGTTGCCAGACAAATAACGCGGAAAAACAAGATCACCTCGATCGAGTCTCCCGTCCGTCTTTCCGGTATCTAGAATTTAATACAAGACCTTTGATCCGTCGACGTGTGTTTCCCAGGAAAAGCGCAGTCGACCGAGGACGCGCTGAACGAAGAGCTCCTCCGTGAGACGGAGACGATAACCGAGTTCCTATACGGGACGAGAAGCCGCGTGGTGTCCAGGAGTCTCCTTTCGAATCGTTTCGAGCGTCGCGATGAGAATCAGGAGCAAAGACGAACCAATCCGGGCACTTACGACGTCTACTTTATATCCTCTAAGCAGCAGCAATCTTCAAAGTCCTCCAATTCCTCGATGCAACAGTCCCAACAGCAGCAGCAGCAGCAGCACCAACAATCGCAGCAACAGCCACAGCAACAGCAGCAACAGCAGCAGCAACAGCAACAGCAACAAACACGTCGCCCAAAGACACTACAAAGAGGAGCAACAACCCCGAACGCGAACGCGTCGTCGACCAGTCAAGACTTCTGTGTCAGCCCGGACACGAAATTACGTTGCAACAGCAGCACCTGCGATTTCTGGCCGCACTGTTCGCAGAGGGACAGCCTGTACTCACCGAATCAGGTGCCGGTATTCATGAAGCTGTCCCAAAGCTATCCGGCTCATCAGAGGCTCCCCGCGGACGCTGGCAGCCACACGGGTAGAGGCAGCGCCAGCTCGTCCCCGGCGTCGTTAGAGAGGATGGACGACCGAGAGTACCGGGAACGGGAGAACGCGCGGAAGAACAGAGCTGCCGCCGGACGCGATCAGAACAATCCGAAATATCAGGAGAGGCAACCGAAGAGCGTGCTTAAGCAACCGAACCGTTGGTCGCCCCTAGAGGGTTCCAACGGAAACGCGTCGTCGTCCGTTGAGAAGAGGGAGCAGCATCATCGATTTTACAGGAAGCCCGAATTTGCCGGCAGCTTCGAGGGCTGCGACAACAAGGATAGAAAAGTGTCCCCGGTGTCTCAGGGGAAAGCTGGTATCGCTAACAGATCACCCAGCGGTCAGGTAGCTTCTTCGTCGACCACCTCGTCCTCGTCCAGCAGTGATATTTGGGTCACTACGTCCGATCGAACTGTTACCAAGAGTCCCAGGAACGCGAAAAGCTCCGGCGCGTCCACCCCCATGGAGGATGCGGTAATCGGCTCCCTGAAGACCTTGATGGAACCGCCCAAGGATGGAATGCTGTCTAGGCCCGGCAGTGCTCCCACCAGAGCGGATGATTCTATGCCCACGGAGACCTGCCTGGATCCTCATCAGCGGTCCTTATCTCTGCCGAAATCGTTCCTGACGCATAACACCGACGGGTGAGTCGTTCACTGCATGATGCTTGTTTTTTTGTAATTTACGACGATGCTAATAACTACGGCGATTACGATGGTAATGGCGACGATAACGACGATAATAATAATATAGTTTGACTACCGAGTATGTTAATATACATAAAGAAAGCAATCATCGACGCAGTCGTTAACTGCAACCATCGGGACGCAAAAGCTCAGTGCAACTCGACGGGCATTAGACCGGTTCGTCGAATTCGATGAGTGAATACAAAGAACAGTATTATTTAAATTCCAGTCCAGTACTAGGTTTCTCAATTACCCGGAACTTCGATTGCCGCCTAATTGGCTTTTCGTTTGAAACCTACCCGTCCTCTACGTTTTCGCGTGTGCATCTCAAGCACACAAATCGCATGACGATTGTCATAAGCTCCTTAGCCAACCCTCCTCTCTGCTACTGATCCCATTTTCGATGAATCTTTAATTTGGCTAAGTAATCGGTACAACACTGCATCATAGTCGTGCGTCAATAAAGTGAATCGATGTAAATTCGACACACGTGCGTCTAAGTCTGTGTATACTTGCATACGCGGACCTGTTCTCTTTCAATCGGTGGTTGGCTACGAAACGTCGTGCGTCGCGCGCTGACATCAGCAAGTCGCGGCAGGTTAGCGCAACGTGGAATCCAATTTTCTACAAGTTCAATTACTTCGTTCTCAGTTATACTGGTTACGTGGCTGCAAGTGATAGTCCGTAGATCCTAGCCCGGAGTTACTAATGGTGCAGTCACATACACGTCACGTGCAGTAGACGCTGCCACCCCTCCGGACAGGCATTCGGCTCAGGCCAGGTAAACACACGTGTGTTGGTTAATTCCCGTGCTCAACGTCCCCGGTATTTTAATCAACCTGTCGAATCCGGTTACGCGCACTTTGTCATCCGCCCGAGCATAAGCAACGGGTGGGCTGAAAGTAACGGGATGGTTATAATCAGCTACTTTTGTTTCACAGTTCAGTCACTGTAAACTGAATTTTTCTTAAATACTTTTAGTGTTCTTAGATTTGGGAAAAAGTAATTTTTAAAAATATCTTAGGGATTGTATATAGTGGATATAGTGTATATAGTATATAGTTTCGGTGTCACTTTGAAAGTTACGTTAAAAGCGTTATTAATTCTTATTTCGGAATTCTTCCTTCGAATTTATTCGAATTTCTGGTACGTATTAAAAGATTTTACTTGTTTCGTTGTAAAATTAAATTTTGCGTGAAAGTCCATAGTCTGCGGGTTGCAGAATTAAATAGTTTAGTTTACTTTGACACACCCAGTACGTAGAATCATCGTTAAACTAGACACCTAAAATACCACGTTCACAATGTTGCCTTTCCAATGGAACTTGAAATGTTTTTATTGGTCGCGTTTCGCACTCGCGTTCTGGTTAAATTATGTTTGTGTGAATGCCCCAGGGAATAAAATAAACCAGTTCGAAAGCGCATTTACTGCACAGCTGGCAGAACTATTCAGGTTATAGTCTCATTGTTCTTATCTCTTCACTCTTTGCAACCTCCTCGAAATGGGGCTTTTTTCTCGGGGACAAAAAAGATTGATCAATGTTATGGAATGTGTCTTTACAGCGGTCTCAATACACCGAGTTAGCAATATTGATAAAGTCCAATTCATTGAAATGTTTTATTCCTTTAAAAGGAAAACTAGAGGTTTTTACGAATTGATATCATTTAACATTCACCTAAGATTCTTTCCCAAGGATTGAATATGCGTTTCTCATGCAATTCAACTTCAGAAGCGCACAACTCAAGAACTTATTCAACTTCTTTACATTGCACGTAATAGTCTTCGCATTCTTTGTTCGTTTCAATTGCTTTAGCCGGCCGAAATTCTAACAAAAGCGAAATCGTCTCGTGGAGAATAGCTCGGTACACCCTGTACGTGAATGTTTAGAATGATTTACAGCTTCTCGAAGGAGGGGTGTTTGTCGCGTGCGCTCTCGTGAAGGCCTCCTCCACCTTGTTACTCGGCAAGGTACGGAAATGTGCACAAGTGACGTTTTCGAGTGACGACCGCGCAAAGTGTAATGCGACGTAATCGTACGTTCGTCGAACCGGTTATGTCCGCGTGTAAAGTCGCCCACGCCGACGCCCACGCGAAATCCGTGGCCACCAGACAAAGGGACATTATACTGCTCATCACGCGCGATTCCAGTTTATACCGAGTACGACTGAACCGAATCAACGTTACCGGACATATTAAAATTGATGTCTCAAATTTGTTGACACAGTTAAAGCTGAGCAATTAACGAGATATTTTTAGTATCTTTGCCAACAAAATTTTGTCAAACACGTTTCTACATTTTCACAAGATTTTTACAGAAAGGCTGCAAGATTTCGTTGTTACCCAATTGATTCGTACACGATTAAAATTGATGTAGTCGTTCGTTCAAACAACTTATTTTGAAGCTTCGAAACTACTCTTTGAAGTCACGTTCAACAACGTGTTATTAATTTCATTTAAATTTTTAAACACCGTACTTGTAAGGGCCTATAGAAAACACGTGCGCTGTTAATTCAACAAAAATGCGGTCCGACTCGAAGCGCGAACAAAGACCGCAACGCAACAAAAAGCGATGTTTAATGAAATGCTACAAATTTTCAAAAAATCTGATATGCGCGATTTCACAAAGCGTAATTGTGCGCACGACCGAACAGAAGAACAAAAATTCAGTAGGAGTCGTTCGAAAAATTTATTCGTCGAGATGAAACAGCTTTGATGGTTGCTGTCAAATACCGAAACGAACAGCATACTCTTGGTCAGATTCGCCCGATAAAGCCGCAATTATAGATTAAAAAGCACTCGAGCGTAGTTTAGACGCAGTCGCGAGTATTTTCAAACCACTGAATCGATTGTCTCTTAACGCTTTTCCGATGCTTTCCCATTTCCAGATTTTGAATTTCATTTTATAGGCATATCAGTGATCTTCCAAAAATGACTCTGTGCTCCAAATAGCCAGAAAAGGTAGATTTAGCCATATACAATAAGTTGACATTCCATTGACCTTTGGAAACAGTCCTACTGAATCGTAGGAGCATAAAAATACACTAAAAGTCACCAAAAGGTCAACGCATTCTGGCTATTTCAATTTGTCGGTGCTTGCTGGCTACATCACTGTCGCGTCACAAAGCAAACACTCTACTTATTTTAATATATTATTAAAACAGAAAGCTCAGCAACTCCTGCATTCTTAACAAATGTGAACCAGCAGAATGCTTGATCGAATAATTGATCGTTTGCATCGAAAGATACAATCTACAAATGTAATACACCTAATGTATCTAGAAGAATTTGATCAAAGAAATAATCGTGTCTCGAATCTCGTTACTTAAGATCGTCGAGTAAACAATGCCGATAACAGAATTACTACTGCAAACCGGTAGAATTCGGTGCACGGTAGTTTAAGGATTAAAGTGCGCGTCCCGCGGTAGAAACTTTCCAGCTTGGTCTCTGTCCAATAGTTAATCCGGGAAAAGAAACTTCGGCGAAGTAGCAAGCTGTTTGGTGTTCTTCCTTCCGTGCAGTGTTCTTTCAAACCGCGCAACTTTCCGGATGGTCCGTGTGTTCGCATATTTCTCGGTCGATGTCGTATAAAAATGCTGCTCGAAACCAGCCAAGGGATCGTTCCGCGGTATTCCGAAGGAGATATTCGGATATAAATTCCGAGCGTGATACGCGGGGTAATTCCTCGAGTTACGTGCGGATATCCGATCGGGGAGCCATCTTGTTTTTAACAATGCATCCGTAAATCTTGGCACCTCGCGTTGTTCGAACTCGATCTCACCGTCGACGCGCTGATAAATCACCGAATTTCAAGCACGCTGATTCCAGCGAAGAATAACAACTATCGGACAATCATAAAATTGAACGAACGAAACGATCGAAACGAAGCCGACGCGAGCATTTCCTTATTTCCCGTCGCGACGTCACTCCGCGCGCTTTTTACATGAC